GACAGTAATTAGTATGGGTATTGTTCCAGGTAATTTTAGATAGTATTCTCACCACCCACTGAAACGTGATGCTATAACCTGCAATCTGAAGGAGAATAGCAAGTGCAATAATACATCATGCTTTTCAACATGATGGTCCATTTTGATCGCATCTCCATTAAGTGGAATGAAAAAAGCCTCACCCTGGTAAGATCACTTCGCATGAGGAAAAAAAAATAAAGTGAAAATCTGTGAGTAGGAACGAACTGGTGATACTGAACCTTGGTGTGCTTTTGATCTCAGGTTTGCTCCTTTCTAGCTTATGTAAAACAAGTGGAAAATGCTATTCTGTCAGGTAGCATTTTTTGTCTACTCTATACTCCCTTTAGCTCAGTGTAACTAATGGTGTCAGCGAAAGACCATGGGGAAACTGTCTGTGGTCACTGACTGCAGCTTATTGCCAGGATGCCCCTGTGAATACCAGGAACCTTTTCTGCTTTCTAAGTTTAAGAAGATGCAGATACTATTTGATAAGTGAACTCCTCCTCTTGCCTTGACTTTCTAACCCCTCCCTCCCGATTGCACACTATGCTGACCAAAATCGAGCACAAGGGGAATATGTACTGGCATCCTTCATGTTTAAACATTACACAACAGCAAAAGGAGTTTAAAATTATAGGATCGGGGTTTTTTTTTAAATTATAACATTTGTGTCCTTTTTCTTTAATATTAATTTAATAATAACATCATATTTCCATGGCTTTCGTATATTTTCCCTACTACCAAGCATGAGGGTTAGCAACTTGCTGTCCTTCTAAATGAGAGCCTTGTAATATCATATGAATCCAAAAACCTGTGCTTCTAAACAAACACCAAGAATAATGAAGAAAAATTATAAAAAGAGGTATGGTAGTGTTATGAAAGAAGGTAATATATTTCAGGGACATCAGTCCAGCACATTCCTGGATCTCTCTTTATGAAGTCTAGCCATTTAGAAAGAGCTGCTTTGGTCATATGCACAAAGATGCCTTCTAACTCATCCCCTCTTCAGCTTATCAAAAGTAGCATCATACCACAGCTGTGTACATCCCTTCTGTCAGGCTATGGGCTGTCAGAGGTAGACCTTATCTGACTCTTGAATTATTTTCCAAATTAAATCTAGCATAAAAATGAACAATTGTGCCAACCAGTGACAGATGCAGCCCACTCCCACGTAGTGGTTCATCTGAATCCGATGCTCTGGGTTTACAGCCCCACAAAGACCTTTGAGCAGAAGATCGTGTTTTCTAACATTTTGCAGGTCCCTTTATGTGGCAGTGCCTTGGACAAGTGCACTGGCTTAGAGCCCTGCCCCATTCAACGTATGTGAGCAGGACCTTGTTTCCATAGAGGCTGCCTGCTTTCGGCATCTGCTCTAAAAGGCAGTCAGCAAATTTTGTAAGGATAAAGAGGTTTTTAGCAAGAAACAGTCCCGTTCATAATGCTGCTGCAAAAATATCCTCTTATTTGGCCTTATACTGGAAATTGTGTGAATACAAGGAATCTGTCCCAGGGACCTAAAAGCATACAGCAGCACAGATAAAAATAGTTGTACTTAAAACATAACATTCACCATTCAAGGAGTTAATAAAGAGCAATGCAATGCAGAGCAGGCATTAAGAATTCATGTGTCAGTACTGTGAAATGTAGAAAATCTGTGATTACGGGGGTAATAAATGAGAAAGAAAATACATAGCAAAGATGAACAGTATTTAAATTCAAAACTTTATCTTAAGGACTGTCAGCAAGTGGCCAACGCATTAGGAAAGAAATCTTACCTAAGGTCAGAGGCTCCTTTTCAAAAAAATGTCCCAAGTCATCAGCATGAACACAGGTTCAGCGACAGAGGAAAACTAGTTTATTATCACTAAGATGATACTGTTTTTATAAAAGGTAACTGGATGTTAATACTAAATTATTTTCATCTATTTGAGAGAACACATCTCTTTCTAATACAGATTATCTTGTTCTGTAGAAGGCACTGCTGGGTTTGTTGCCATCAAGCTCTGCACTCTGACCTTTTCCCAGCTCATTTCTTCTGGCTTTCCTCCCATCCAGCATTTCTTCAGTCACTATTTCCTTTTGAAAGAATTAAAGCCACACTGTACATGTGATGTCTTTATTTTCTACCTGTTATTTCCAAAAATACCACATAGATTCTTACCTTACATTATGTCAAACATTACCTTTTACTATTTAAAATGTTAAACCCTAGTAAAAGAATTAAGTGATAGTCTAGTCTGAGATACCACAATAAGATATCAGGTTTGTACTTAAAGAATGAATGTCTGGCCTTGTTGTAATCTTTGGGAAGATGTCTGTAATTTCCATGTTTCATCCAAATAAATGTTTTATACTTAAGACTCACCTTAACTCATATCCCAACCCTCCTGTAACAACATGGCTAGGTTCTCCGGTGAAGCTTCCCTCCTTCATACTAACTCAGGATCTAAGTCCATGGTATTTGTGTTTATTGATTTTTAAGGTGACAAGGCCCACTTGATCATCTCCTGTGCTTTACAGACTAATAACTATCGCTTGGTTTTGAACCCAGTAATTAGTATCTGGCCAAAAAAGTGTTTCGTACAGCTCATGCCCAAAAGAAAGCAATGGGAATAGATGGATTTGTGATGTATTAAATAATGAAGAGAAAGCTACTGGAAGAAAATCTTGCTTTCCTAGCCTCCATGCATGCTGGGCAGAGTCTTGGGAAGAGAAAAATGTGGGGAAGGGGACAGGATTGAAGGGCACCTTCTTCCCATCTCCAAGTGACTCAGATGTTTTACATACGTGAAAAGTGTCTCAACCACAAGGTGCAAGTCTTCCAGAGACCCTCTGTGTGCCCCCACTGGCTTCAGCTGCTGAGAGACCAGTTCCCTTCCTCCTCATTTCGGCTGCGGCATCCTGCCTCCCCAAATCTGAAAGTCAAACCCTGCCTCTGCTCTCAAAGTGTTCATGTCACCCTCCTGAATTAGGCTTGCTGCAAGCAATGAAGCAGTGAGATGCTTTTCATTAATTGTCCTTTTTGGAATTCATATGAAAGTGTGATATTCAACTAAAAGCTTGCCAATCTGAAATCATTGAAGAAACGAGACAAAAACCCTTCCAGAAATGTGTCCAGACTGATCTGAGATGTAAAGCAAGGAGAGCACTAGACAGGGATTTGATTTTTGCCTGGCCTCTGCCACTGATTCACAGCAATGCTTTCTGCAAGTCATTTATTGTGCATCAGTGTGCTTATTGATGGAGGAAAAACAGTATTTATTTCCTTTCACAGAGTTGTCCTGAGCCTTACTAACCACCGCTTGTGCAAATCTTTGGATGAAAGGAATCATAAGAGTTCTAAGCTCTTAATATATATTACTTATTGTACTTTAAAACAAATGTCATCGCACTAGGTAGGAATTAACATTCCAAAGCCCATAGGGTGGGTACCTTTTCATACACGTATATATAAAAGTCATCAAGTGACCTGCCTCAGAAGAAGGCCAACTGAAGACAGGTGAGTCTGAATTCACTCATGGAGTATTTATTTAGAGCTGGAAGCCTTGATTTTGCTTTGATTTAGCATTTTGTCAATATTGTGATTGTTAGGGTCTTTCTACTTAAGGCCTGTGATGATTTTTGTGATGGGAGGGGGAAAAAAAAGGCGGATAACTTAAAACTTCATAATATGGCAATTTTGTGCATGTGGAAACAGCTGCAGCCTGTAGCTTTTGATGGGGCCCCGTATGGATTTGCCATTGAATGAATAGGTATGGGTCAAGCTATATTGATCCAGGCTTGCAAATACTCACTCTTAGAGCTCAAACTGAGCTACTGTGTGTACCTAGCTCCAGCCGAGGGTGTTTGCTGGCCTGAATAAGCTCACACAGGACAAGGGAGTCTTTCCGATGACACCAGTGGACTATTTGTGTTTGTGCATTCATGCAGTTTAGTTTGCAGTAGAAATACAGACTAGAGAAAAGGTCACAGGTTATTAAAATCAATAAGGCATTTTCAAGTGTTAATAGTGTTGTGTGATGATTGCCTACAAGACTCGTGGTGTGTTTTGTGTTTGAAACCCTCTTAGGGAAAAAGAAACATTTGTAAGCCATAAAAAATGCTCAGTTTAAATGCACTCACCAGCAAGGCAAGTACAGTCAATGTTTTTTCCGGTTGATAGCTACTATCTGATGATATTTTGGGATTTTATTAATAAGCACCACAAATGCATTTATTACAAAAGTGATTATCTGCCATTATCACACACAGGAATTAATGCAGAAGTGTTATTTCACCAGCAAAATCTTTGCCTTGCGTGAGGGTCATAGCAGAGAGGGTCATATTGCTTGATTTTTGAAAACTTGTTTTTCCAAAAGCCAAGCAAAAATTCCATTGCCTTTTGAACAGAGAGACAAAGGATGCGTGCACTCTGTAGCACATTAGACTTCAAACACCTATATAATTAAAACAAAGGTACTGCACCTTCTCGTCATAAAGACATGCTACAGATGTTCAGGAGGGGCCACGTGAGCAAGCGATATGAAGTGACAGGGGCTGAAAAATCCCTGCTGGCCCAGGCTGCCGACAGGGACCTCCCTGCTCCCGAGCTCCCCAGGCTCGGTCCTTCTGTCTCGATGTGATGGTGTAGCGGCACACGAGATGGAGGAGACATTCAGCCGCAGGAGAAGCCTGTATCCCCCAAACAAGGAGGAAAAAAGGAGCAGATGGGGCTCCCATCACTTGCTTTTCCTCCCACCACCGCTCTCTGAAGCTGGCGGCTGCACCCCGTGCTGGGGTGAGGGGGGGAGCGTGCTGCGGAGAGGGTGCCTCCGCTCCCCAACCTTCAGCTAATGCCATCCCTGTTCAGGGCCTCGGGATGGGAGCTTTTGGCATGCAAGCTTTGCTACAGGGCTGTTGAACATCAGCACTGATTTCTTCACATTTTGCAAACCGCTGTGTTTCCAGGTCTCCTGGGGCAGCTGAGGAGAGCCATCACCATGATCCTCGCACTGCTTTTGCTGGGCCTTATGGCCCTTGTCGGTGAGCTGGGGTTTGGGTTTGATTTGCTGTCGAAAGCACCCCGGGAACTGTTTGCAGAGGGACTGTGCAGAGGAGGCGTGTGGTCAGGCCTGAGGTTCCCTTTCTGCGCGGCGCTGTAAAACCCTGTGTGGCTGAAGGTCCTCGGCTGCCGTTTGAGGCTGCTTGCCGCCCATCTTGCGTCCTTTAAACCAGCACGTCTGGAGTACGGGACTGACACCGAAAGGGAGTCACAGACATACCTCCTCTTGATTTTCCCAGCTAACCTTATCCAATCTCTCTGCCTGCTCAGAAATGGTCTCACAAATGTCGCAGGCTGTCTGGCGGAGGCTAGCCATTCCCCAGTTACTGAGGAAGCAGGGTAATTGGCCCAGGCTGAGGCAAGCACTCTCCTGAATTAATTCCTCGCCATGTTACGGAGGGATACAGGAGACATTCCCAGCTGGGATGCTCAGGTACTGCCAGCTGTCATCTGAGGGGTCCCAGACATCGGAGGGCATCAAATGGGAAAAACCCTCTGAACTAAATGCAGAGGCTGTGGTTCCCCTCTCTCACACCAGCCTTTAGACCTAACGGGGCAGACGCCTATTCATCTAAATTGTCATTAGCTTCATTCGCTTCACCCTATTCAATTAGAAAAGAACAAATTTCTGTTCTCTAGCTTTCATTGATAATGTTACTGATGGAGAACAGTGGCAACGATACAAGCATGGCCAACACAAGATGATGTGGATTACGGGTCTGGATGAATCCCTCATGCTTGACTTGTACTCACTTGCAGCACGCTGTACGATATTGCTCTGAAATCTTATGTCTTCAAACATCTCCATTTAATTTTTCAGCTCCATCCATGAGTTACAGTTGCTATGGTGATATAAGTACTCTTCAAGCCCCCATGATGTCCTGCACAGCCGTAAGAGCCCCAGACTGTGGTAGGTATCATTCATTGCTTGATTTGTCAACCTGTTTATAACTGACAGAGAGATGCTTCGCCTTCCATTAAATGTGGTGCAACTATTAAATCAGCCAAAAGGGAGAAAGCAACACCTCCCCTCCTCAAATGGCAGGTGCTGTGAAGCCTCCAGACCTGATGGGAAGCAGGAGGACAAACTTCAGGTCCCAAAGTCAGGATCCTCAGCCTCTAAGTGAAGGGAAATGGCACAACCTCTTTTCAACCAAAACAGCTTCTTCATCAGCCAGGACTTTAGCATCAGCGTCCTCACAAAACCCTGGGGCCTCTCAGTTCGAAGGGGAAGATGCGCAGAGCCAGGTCCTGAGTGCTGGCGTGTTGGCTGAGCTCACCAGTGGTGACTTGCCAGAGACAAGTCACCATTTTGCAGGGGGAAAGTCCCAGGCGTGTAGTCATCCCACCTCTGGGTGACTCATTTTTGGTAACTCCTTCCCGTTTCCCTCTTTCTTGCCTTGTTTTATTGCCCCATGTTACTGCACAGCTGACTACCTCAGGTTCATAGTGCCCAGACCTCCAGGGACTTCGCCACGTACCTCAGACGTAGACACCTCTGGGGCAGACACCTGACTGCGGGTGTCCAAGCGTGGATCTGAATCCGCTTGCTTGTTTTCAAGCTGTTTCCAAAATTACTTTAAAAACCCCCCACCTTTCTATATACAGACTAACAATGTAGCTGTTACTAGTTTGGCAGGTTGGTAGTAACGCATCTCTCACTTTTTTCAAATGCAATTTGAAATTTCACTTTTCCGACTCCAGAGCCGCATTTCCAGCGGTGCAGCAGCAGAAGAGGACCACGAAGGCGCAGTCCCACCTCCTGGGAAGCTGCCCTCTTCCCCTCCTCGCCCTCGGGCACCGGTGCGGCAGCTCCCCGGCCACGGTCAGAGCCGGCAGGGCTGTGCTTGTTCCTCAATCACCACTGCCTGACTCGGTGTAGCTGCGTTTTCTTCCAAACTCCTTTGATACACCCGCTCAAGGGGAAAGCGAGGGTTTTGGACGGGAGGGTGTGTAAGTCTGCCTTTTCCTACGCTGCAGGACTTGCCATGGTACGCAAGATTGCTGAGGCAGATGTCGTACGCCTGAGGAAATATGAGATCCCGATTAAGAGAGTAGCCAGAAACCTGTGCTTGGACCCGGCGCTCATCGCTGCCATCATCTCGCAGGAGAGCCGTGTCGGCATGCTCCTGGACAACGGCTGGGACCAGGAACGGCACAAGTATGGCTTGATGCAGGTACATCGGGATGATAAGTATGAGTAACAGAACAGTCATGTAGTGTATATCCCAGGGCCTTACCTTAGCACATGACTGTTCTGTGTTCGAGCCAGCACTTGAATGTGTTCCCTCTACATCAAAGGTTGTGCTTAAGTGTTGTCCCGAATGAGGCCACTTCTTCAATGAGTCACAGCCTGGGAGTACAAAGAAGAGGGGGAAGCTAGAGTGATGGTTGTGCTCAGAGGGAAACCGATTTTCTTGCTTGACTTTGCTAGCTTGGCAGGGAGCAACGCCCTTACGGAATGTGGGATAGTGAAGAACACATAAATCAGTGCTCAACTATTCTGGTTCTTGCAATTAATGAAGTACGGGCAAGACATCCTACCTGGACCTGGGACCAGCAGCTGAGAGGTACGTGATGGGCTATATACTAGAAAGGGACACGCTGAGCGATGGGAGTGCTGTGCATTTGTTGGTGTCACTTTTAAGGGAAAAAGAGCATCAGTCTGGCAGATTTTACAGCATCTCTTACCAAAAAAAGCCCCCAGAGTTTTCTAGTTTAAAAGAAGTAATCCCAAAACAGCAGACCAGCAAGAGGTCTGAATATAGACTCAGCCTCCCAGCTCAAAGCACTGTCCGCAGGGCCTCCATGTTTCTGCCTGCAGAAGAGAGACCATGGTGGGACTCCGTGCTCCTTGGCAGCTTTGCTGCAGCAGGAAACCAGGCCAGCCTGGGAGCTGCCGCAGTGGCACGGAGACACCCCATGCAAGGCTGGGAGAAGGTGTTGGGCACAGCCTCGGCAGGTTGCCCCTTGACTTCAGTGATAAACGCCCACAGAGGGCCACTACGTTGAGCAGCTGGGCCACCACTGGTGAATGGTTGGATCCAGGACCTCCTTAAATTCCCTGGAAAAGGCATTGTGCTCAGTTAACATGAACAGGTCTCAAGTTATCCTCTTATCTGTTCATCCTACAAGTGAAATGGCTGTCAGGTGGATAAATAAGGTAGAAACCAACCAACCAAAAGCCACTGGGGAAGATGGAAATTGAGGCACCGCTACACAACAGGCTTATCGTGGCAGGATGTTAAGTGTCTGGGAAGCCTGGGATCCAGGTTTGCTTGTAGTCCATGTTATCTGCATGCTGGCTTGTTCACCCTATGCTATTTCTTACTCTCCCGTCCCTGTTCTGCCACTGCCTTTTAGATTACACCCTTCTCTGGGACCAGCGTGCTGTTCCCACCTGCATTTGGAGAGAGTCATGAGTTCCTTCACTATAGAAATAAGGATTTTGCAAAATCAGTCACTTTTCAACAATAATGCACAATTAGCAATTTCCCAAGCAGTTGTGTAGGTTTGGTGAGATGCACGGCCCTTTTGGCTGGGAATTTTTACTTTTAAATCTCTATTTCTTACTTATAAGCCCATAACAATTCATTCTTAACTTTTTCCAGGCGGGATCTGCACCTACCGTGCAAAAATGGGCAACGTCCGGGTCTACGAGGAAGACCCATGCGACAGAGACAACAACTACGCCAACAGCGTGATTAGGCGAGCCCAGTACTTTAAAAGGCACGGGTTCTAGCTCATAAACCTGCCCTGCCACCGAGCCTCTCCTCTATATAGACTAGCCCAGTAGTGATCGTAGTACCCAGAGCAGTTCCTCAGGTCTCCCGGCAGGACCGATGCTGGTGGCAATGGCACCTTGCTCGCTCCAGCAAACCTCAGCTCCCCACTCGCCGATGGACGAGCTCAGCACTGCATTCCAGGGGACCTGCAGGGACTTGCAGGGCCAGGGACATGAGCTTGGGGCCTTTGAAAGGCAGGCAGGGACAGACCAGCGATAGTTTAAGTGCTGGGTGAGGAAGGTGCCTCCTCTCATTTGGAGCTTAACCCAGGGCTGTTTGTGCGTCCCCCAAGTACGGGCGTGGAAGCAGCTCTCCACGGGCATCAGCTGTGCTTTTCCCATCTCTTCCATCCACCTCCTTCCCTCTCCTTGGCCAACAAGGGGGAGAAGCCCCAAAATGGAAATCTTCCTTCCCCTTGATTGTGCTAGCTGCTGGACAATAAAGAGACTTCTCAACGAGCCTCTGGTCTCTGCATGTTTCTGTACTAGCTCTGTATTCCTGTGGCCAGCCTTGTGGGGGACAACGCTAAACACGCTTCTGTTAGTCTCCCAAGCCATGGAGCCCACGGCCGTGGTGGGGCTGGTGGCCTCTTCAGGGTGAAAAGCAGCCTCACACAGGGGAAATGCTCTATATGGGAAGTACTGCAAGTGCCATAGCAGGCATGCAAAACACCTTTCCATTAGAGAGCAGCCCTCCAAGCAGGAGTCGGCCCCGTACCTACCCACCCCGTATCTACAACCCTGTGTGTGAGCTGTATCACAATAGTGTTGGTAAAAAAAACCCACAACCTTTCCTGCTTTAGTTTTGGCACCTTTATGCTGGGTTTCCTCCAAGTTTAAAAGCGTTTCCGCATCTGTCCCTCTGCCAGGAATCCCTACTTCTAATTAGGAGTGAATTAGCTCTGGGTTTATAAGCTCTGTTTGAAAGTGTTCTTTAATGTGGATGGGTCTGGGTGCAAATTTAGGTTTACTGAGAATAATACTGAGAAGAAGAAAGAAAATAAAGGTAAATGTTGAATCTCAATCTTTTTTTTTTTTTTTCCAATTTCATGGGGCCCAGTGGGCAACAACCAGCAACTTGAGTAAGTAACCCAATTCGGTACTCTTGGAATGGGTCTAAAATGCAATTTGAGAACAGGGAGAGGAAAACGGTGCTGCAGGCTGGGGTGGGTGAGAAGATCTGGGCTGGGAGGCAGGGCGTGAGGCAGCCCGAGCCCGGCCTCTCGCCCCATACCTGTGAACAGGGGAATAAGGACGTTCACGTTTAGCTTTTTGAATAACCGTTTCGGAGGCCCCAGGGCACCTTTCTGCCGGCTGTCACCATTGCCGATGCAGAAGCGATGTGCCTGGTGATCCCTGCCCAGCAGAACGGGGCTGCCGGGCAGGGTGGACGCAGGCAGCGCGAGAGCTCATTTGGAGACAGCTTTGAAGCAATTTTAACGCTGTGCTCCTTGTCTTGCCAGTCACTCATCTGCTTACCGTCGCAGCAAGGACTGTGCGTGATTAACATATTTGCAAGCAAACTCATTTTATCATCTCTGGAGACCAGAGGGAGCTCTAGGACATCGCTAACGTTATTGATTTTTTTTTAAGACTACAGAAAACAGTTCAGTGTTGAGCAACTGGAGGTATTAAACTATATATTATTCAGTGAATTTAGTGAATTCTACACTATATTAAGGTAATTTTAGCAAAATCATTACTTTATAATACAAACTTGTGAAACATATCACGTGGTTCGATCCCCCCTACTTGAAACAGCTTATGTAAAATTCATAGGTTGAAGTCTTTGTTGCATTATGTTATATAAACCTCTGTGTTACACAAACCTCTTATGTAAAATCTATGAATGCATTTTCGGTAGATCAGTATAAACTTCAAATGGGGCAGGGAATCTCATTCCTGCCTACATGTATAAAGTTGTTTTTTGAATTTGGAGGGTGAACAAGAGTGGAGCTTTCTTTGGTTCCCTTCATGTCGCCCCTAATTGCTGCCAGCAGGCTTCCTGTCACCAGTACGTGGTGTTGCCATCCCTGTGGATCTGTGAGCTCCTCAGGAGTCCAATTTCTCCATGCGTTACCTATGAAGCTGGTGCTTCACGTTACGGTAGCAACACCCAAGGGCCTGCAGACCTGCTTGCTGGCTTGTGCAGCATTGCCACAAAGGATTATTTCTTTTTTAAGCCTATTTAAAAGTCCTGATTACAGGAATTCCATATTTTGTTGCAAATATTATTTTAGGTTATCAGCACTTTGTAGCAGGAAAAGCTCTGCAGAAAATGAGTTGAAATATAATTGCTTGATAAATTGGCAGGAAGGAGTAAATAATTAAGGAAAGTTTAACACTAGCACACTGCCTTAAGATTTGAACAAAAGCTTTCCTGAAAAACAGTGAGTTCAAGTTGCTTTTCCCCTCCTATCTTCTCCTGGTCACCCGTGTCCATGTTACTGGAAGTTACTCATCTGGCTGGTGTGCACAGGGTGGCTGCGGTCACGCTCTTGGTCACCCTTTTGACCCGTGGCCTATTGAAAAAAAACAGGCAGCTTGCAAAGCAAATGATCTAATACCAAGTGACACATCAGAAAAAGCAGAAGCACAGGTGTATTGGGTCTGGCTGAGATGGAGTTAATTTTCCCCACAACAGCCCTCATAGTGCTGTGCTTTGTATCGGTAGCTAGAAAGGTGTTAATAACACCGCAGTGTTTTGGCTACTGCCGAGCAGTTCTCCCACAGCACCAAGGCTGTCTCTCCAACATTCCCACCTCACCAGTAGGCTGGGGATGGGCAAAATCTTGGGAGGGGACATAGCCAGGACAGCTGACCCAAACTGACCAAAGGGATATTCCATACCACATGATGTCTGCTCAGCAATAAAAGTTAAAAGAAAGGAGGAGGAGAGGGGGCACTTGTTATTACGACATCTGCCTTCCGGAGCAGCCGCTACGTGTGCTGAAGCCCTACTTCCAGGGAATTGACTGGACATTGCCAGCTGATGGAGGAAGTAGAGAATAAATCTTTTGTTTTCCTTCATTTCCCCGCGTAGCCTTTGCTTTTGCTTTATTAAACTGCCTTTATCTGACCCACGAGGTTTTTTCCATCTTATTTTCTCCCCCTCGTGCTGAGGAGGGGAATGATAGAGCAGCTTGGTGGGCAACTGGCATCCAGCCAAGGTCAACCCACCACAACAGGTAAGGAAAGAGAAAAGCCATATCAGAGGGGAAAGAATGGTCCAGGGAATCACAGACCAGGACACCTGGCTGCAACACTGAGGAAGATGCTAGAGTAAAGGATTGAATGATTGCTTCTTGAGCACCCGGGGGACGACGAAGCAGAAAGAAACAGTCAGGAGGGCTCTGGCAGCCTGGCTTGGCAGGAAAAAACCACCTCAGACCAACCAAAGTCCTTATCTCACCGGGTAAGTGGCCAAGAAAGAAGCCGTGGTCGTACCGTATCATGAGCTCGATAAGGCTTTCGGCAGCAATCTGAAGTGCCTTCGTATGTGAAAGGCCTTAAGATAAGAACAAAAAGCACTGGTTGTCAGCAGCTTGTGGTCAAACCAGTGAGACGTTTCAAGTGGAGCCGCACAAGTCTGTCATACACCAGTTTCTCTCAAATTTGTCGTCGGAAAATGAATGGTGGACAAGAGCTATCAAACCGTGGGCTATGCTGAGAGGGAACATGAGCACGTCCACTGATGGTTAAAAACTAGGAAAACCAGTTAGAAACCAAAGTACTGAAATAAAGTAAACACAGGTGCAAAACACTTGTGCCCTTAAGCAGGGGCATAAGCAGGGTTGGAGGAGGTGGGTGACCATCCCGTGGAAAGTGCTGGGGTGTCCAGGGGGGACCGAACGAGTCGATGCCAGGGGAGGCGGGGAGGAGAAAAAAAAGAAGAGGGAAAATCCCATTTGGGGATTTATCTTTATCATAGCACTGTGTATGAAGCACCTGGGGTAATTCTCCTCTCAGCTGTTCAGCTGTCAGCATCAGTGAGGCTCGGCTACAGTGTTTGAGTCTGTCGCACCAACAAAAACGTGTTCAGGAGGATTGCAACTCAAATGGAAGGTACAGCCTACAGGGAACAAGGAATTAGATTTTCTTTTTTCTCCAGAAAAGAGAAAGAGGACGCAGTTACAATTTTGTAATATGCAAAAGAAATGGAGGGCAATGACCCACGTCCTTCCGTTCCCCTTGAGGGTAAGGCAAGTAGCGTTGAGTTTGGCAGCAGGTTTCTGTTAGATACTTCAAAAAACTTTCAGGGTAATGAAGCAATGCAACATTCACTGGGCGTTTTAAAGAACCAACAAGACCAACATGTAAAAGTAGCTGTATGTCATGCTGTTATAGAACGGGGAAATGCAATAGGTGTTGTTTGAGGATCTTTCCAGGCTAACATTGCTGCATCCGAATCAAATCGAAAAAGATAACAAATCGAAAAGTCAGCAAATCGAAAAGACAACAAATTACAGGCAGGGAAGAAAAATCTTCTCTGTTAGGGTCCTATGCTTTGGTTTTACAACCAATGTCAGTCTTGGGAAATGTATTTAAACGTGCTTCTTACAATAAACAGCAAATGTGAGGTGGCAAGCTTTCTCTCTCATCGACTTATTAAGCTGCAGGCGGTATGGGCCGATGCCTCCATGGCTCGGGCAGGGATCTGTCTGAAGTCTGGGGCTGCAATGACTGGCTTTCATAGACACCAGGCAGAGGGAGCAATTAAACAACCTGTTTCAGCAGTGACTGAAGCAGTAGGAAACCACTGCCAAAAACAAGTCGCCATGGGCCAGAGCCATAAACCACATGGATGAACAGATTGCTCTGATGACTGACTCTGAATGCTGGAGCTGGATCGGTTTGAGGCACATGTCCATGTCTGTCTCTCCAAGAGAGGCAGAAAACAAAGGGAAATGCCACCACAGCAATGCAGTGCTGAATAACTGAGTTTGTTCTGCTTTGTT